AGCCCCAGCTGTCCTGGAACTCACTATGTAGACCAGGCTGGCCTTGAACTCAGAGAGATCCACCTGCCTCTGCCTCCCGAGTGCTGGGATTAAAGGGGTGCGCTACACGCCCAGCCAGCAACAAACATTTTAGACTAAGTCATTTACAGATCTGTAGGGAGTTGTTTCATTCATTCACTCATGCCTTCACTTATTCACCCACTGACTCTCCCTTCTGTGCTTCAGAGACGATGCGTTTTCAAACTTGGGTTGGACACAGCACCGAATGGCAAGTCCTTGCAGAGCTCTGGGGCTTAAGTATGTGCCCTAGTGTGTGGCTTGATGAAGGCTGGCCAATAGTCCATGCCACCGTGAGGGATGCTGAGGAAGGCAGCATTCCACCATCTTGACAGCTTACAGGGCATGGGTGAGAAATCCAAACCCAAAGGTGCCACAGGTGGTATAGATGACCCCTCTGAGGCAAGTCTCTAAGCCCTGGTGAGGTTCTTAGGGGCCAAATCAGCAATCCAGTCTTCTACTCAGTCCCTAAGTGTAAAGTTCCCATGCATGGTGAACGGGATACACTCCAGGTATGCTACTGAAAAGAAGGAGGCCCATAAGGAAAAGCACAGAGGTTATAGTAAAGAGTGGTCCTGAGTATAAAACCCTAAAGCCGGTGTGTTCCAGTGTGTCAGATTCTCTCCCTGCACTGTAAAACATGGTGCCTTATAAATACTCATTTCAATTTGTTTCATACATCTATTCTGGTCATGGTTTTATGTACCTCCTTCAAAAGAGTCTTCTAAGAGAAGAGGTGACTACATAATATGCTGTAACCTTCAGCTGGAAACTGACAGGACCCCCCTTATTATTTTGATCATTGCTATAGAGAGAGGAAAAGGAGCTACTTTCCTTTTTTACCTCATTCCTCGATACAATTCCATTATCTCGGCCCCTTTGGCCCCCACGGAAGTAAGAGACAGCACAACACCGTCAGGGGATTCAGAGCCAGCTTTCTAGGGGTTGGGAGGCAGCTGCTGGCTGTCAGTGTGGGGTAGGTGACAAGCTGAGGAGCTGAGCTGCCCTATTGCCAGGCTCTAGCACACAGGGCCTCTGTAGGTGGAGAAGGGGGTGCATTTACCAGTTGCCCTGTCCCTGGAGAGCTTGTCCTCCTTGTCCTCCCTCTCCAAGGTGCTGCTGGAGGACGAGATGCTGGAGGCAGAGCAGTTGTCCCTCTCATTCACCTCCTCATTCTGCCTCTCTTTTTCACTCAGGGAGACTCTTTCTTCAGGCTCTGGCTCCAGCACCTGCTCCCTTTCGCTCTCTGCTCCCCTGTGGGCAGAGGCTACGTCCCGGCTGCCTTCATCAGCAGCTTGTGCCACCTCTGCCTCCAGTTCAGGCTCAGGATCCTTGGCACCTACTGGTGGGGACAAGAGAAGAGATTACATTGATGACAGGGATTTCCTGGGGTTGATTCCTCTGGGGAAAACCTAGAGAGACCCCCCACCCCCCAATGAGTCCTGGTCTGTGTTTATTCAGTTAAATGCTAATGGTGTATGACTGCTATGGAAAGGACTGGAAGATGGCATGAAAGTCCAGGTCAATGAATTTCACAATATGGAGATGATCAGGCTGGCCAGCTTCTATCACAGGAGCCTCTGAAATGGGAGATGTCCATAGCAACAGAAAAGGAGGTCAGAGAAGTTAAGAACTCAAGGATCCCATGTATACACTGGCTTTCCAGATGAAAAGGGCCACATGATAGGAATGCAGGTGACCTCTGGAAGCTGACAGTAAGCCCTAGCTGACAGCCAACAAGAAGCAGGGACCTCACTTATACAAGAACAAGGCAGCACCCTGAGCAAGCCTGGAGGGTGACCCTCCCCGACCTCCTGATCAGGGCCCTGCTGGCCACAAGAGCCCAGCTGAGCCATATTGGGAAAATGTAAGACAACACATGGTGCTATTTTCAGCCATGATGTTTGCAGTCATTTCTTACACAGCAGTAGAGTACAGATGTGTGGTCCTTTGGGCCCCACGGGAAAAACAGCAAAACCCATAGTGAATCAAACCAATTAGAAGCAGCAGCCTGGAGTTTTCTGAAACCCAGCAGGGCCCATCACTCTCTGCTCAGATACAGTTTGATTACAACTCGAAGTTGCCCTGTGACTATGAAATTGTTTAAACACATCACCTCTCAAGAAACCCCTGCCTATACTTGGCTATACTTTTCTTAGATGTCTTTCTCTCTCCCTTAGTATATGTCCTTAAGTCTGTATTAAATAAATTTTTTCTTAATAACGCCAACTTTGCTTCATAAAATTATTTTTAAAAATAAGTCTTGGGCTGATGACTTATGTCTGTGATCCCAGCACTTGATAAGCTGAGGCAAGAGAATCACTGGATGTTTATGGCCAGCCTGGGCTACATAGTGAGTTCCAGATCTTAGCCTGGGCTATGGAGTGAAAGTCTAAACAAAATAAAAACAAACAGAAACCTAAGTTAACAACAACAACAAAGATAAAAGAACCACTCATGGGCATAGGCCTATTTGTAAACCTATGAAGACTAGAAATCTGATATTTGGCCCAAAGTAAAACATTCCCTTTCTTAGTCATGTGCTGCTCCATGGAGCTGGGAAACAACTCATCTGTCTTAAGCCTGATTTTGTTGATCAAAGCTCTCAGCTGTGAGCTTTGGACCTGTAACAAAATGACTGCAAATACAAAACCCTCCAGCCAAACACCACATAGACAGGCTACAGAAGGGAGGGTCACTCCCGACAGCACCGCCCCTCCCCCAACCCCAGGTTGGACAAGGCTGTGGTGCTAGAATTCTGCCAGTACACCAGAAGAGCGTGTGCTCATGTCACACAAACTGCTCAAGGTGAGAAAAAAATTCAGACCTACTCAGACTCCACAGAAGTAAGTAGGCAGCAGGTAGCTCGCTCTCTCTGGTGGCACCCTGGAGACCTGGCTACAGGGTATGCAGAGCCAGCTTCCCAGCCTCCCAGCCTCTTAGTAAGCCAAGCTCTGCCTTTACCACAGGGAAAGAAAACTCAGTCCTCACTGGGCAAAGAGCCCAGCCACCATCAGCTCAGCAAGAAGCCATTCTGCCAGGAATCACTGGGGAGAGCACGCACATCCCTGCCCCCACTTCTGAGAGTGGAGCAGGGAGGTGGGCAGGGAGGGAGAGGATGGGTGTAAAGGATGAAACTCCACTCTTGTGGTTCTGGGAAAGTTCCAATCATCACAGAGAAGAAGCCTTGGAACTGGGGGTAGAGGAGTGAGGACCTCTCCTTCTGCCTGTCTAGGGCTAGGTGCCATGTAATGCATCATTCCTGGGGGCTTGACTCTAGCAAGGGAACCTGTGTCCCAAGATTCCAGAGGCTATCCCTAGAGAAAAGTCTTTAGGAATAGATATGAGATCCCAGTTTCCAAAATGCCAGGGCTAGTAGTAGCGAGAAGCCGCCAAAGGGATAGCCCCGTGAGCCCACGTGCCCTAGAATAGGCATGTCATCCACCGTTCCTTAAAAGCAACACCCAGGCTTCATAACTCGAAAGACTTCTCTTCCCTTCAGAGAAGTCCTTTTGGGTGTGGAAGGGAATTTCTTTTTCATTTGATGATACAGTCTTCAGCAGAGAGATAGAAGCGTCCACGCGCTTTACAAGCCTGCTTGAGCAATGGCAGTGTCATCATGAGGTTGACAGAAAACATGTGTGTGTACACACTTATTTCAGAATAGCCACATCAAAGCAAAAATGTGTTTGCAACAGCCTACCATGTGGCATGCACTTGGGCATTCATGGCAAGCATGTGGGGGACCCTGGTGAGGGTGCCTCCCCATGGCTGGCTCTGTCCCTGGCAGGGCAAGCCAGGCCAGCTTGCCAGCCCTGAGAAATTCAGCATGCAGAGAAGGGAGGGTGTGTGGCTGCCGGATGCTTGGTTAGAGTTGGTACGGACCCCCTGTGCTGTCTCATTCCATTTAAACCACAGGATTCAGCAACTGAGCCCTCCCAGGTTGGCTGAGGGTCACCTGGACAGGTGTGGCAACGGATGTGCAAACGCTAGATCTATACATTCCTGACAAGAAACGGCTCGATGCTACCAGAGTCTAACTTCATAGAGGCTGACACATGCATCCATGATTCGAAACACTAAGGGATTTCTTCTCATGACTACCAGGGAGGTAGTCATCTCCAAAGCTACCTCCTGCCCAGAACACAGGACTCAGCGTCCAGAGGGTCTGACTGCAAAGCTGTGGCGTGTGAAGCTGTCCTAATTATGAACAAATTAAGTAATGGTCTCACACTTAAGTAAAGCAAAACAAGCAAAAGATCAAGAAACAAGGCAATAAAGATGAGCAGAGGCTTGTTCCCATAAGCAAACACTGATGTCCCACTTCCATACACACTCCTGCCTTCAGAGAGCTTATAACACAGTAGGGACACAGACTATAAAGCCCCATCTGCAGGAGTCACAATGGTATGTGAGACAGGCAGATCTGGAGTGTAGGTATCGGGCTCACAGGAGTACCCTCTTCCAGCTATCTTAAATACAGCAACAGTCAGGGCAAACATTCCCTGAGGGCCACATCTTCTTCTGAGAGCCTCCATCTGGTCCTGGGACCAGCACTATCTCACAAAGCTCCTGTTACTTCTGGTCAATAGGAGAGCCCTGTGACGACCAGAGAGCCCATGCCAAGCTCTAGAATGCTCTCCCTGCAGCCTTTTTTTAAAAAAAAATAATTAATTTTTTATTTTATGTGTATGCATGTATTGCCTGCATATAGGTAAGTGCACCCATGTTGTGCAATGCCCAAGGAGGTCAGAAGAAGCTGTCAGATCCCCTGGGACTGGAGTTAAGGGCAGCTGTTAGCTGCCATGTGGGTTCTGGAGTTTGAACCTGGGTCTTCTGCAAGAACAACCAGTGTTCCTAACTGCTGAGCCAGGTCTCCAACCCCCCTCCAGCCTTTTTAATCACATACTCCCTTACCAGCACCTCCCTCACAAACAACCATTCTTTTGGGGTCACTGTTCCTATAACAGACCTGTCGACCTATGAAGAGATGACCAGAAACCACAGGATACAGAGGAGCCACGGGAGCCTGTAGTCTGCAGCAAACAAGGTCCTCATTAACTCTAGGGGGTGAAAATAGGGTTTTCGTCTGCTGGCTACACCTCATCCCTGTAGTTAACAAGCAATTCTCCAGTCCAACGGCAATGTTAGTGGTAATGTGTAGACAGGCCATGACATCTGCACAGGGCCAAAGAGATCCTAAAATCCTGCATGGCTTGACAGGTAAGCCCCAGTGTCCAATGAGTGCAGGGCAGTGCTTGTCACCCAGCTCCTACCGCACAATATAAAACATTTTCCATCACATTACACAGTCTGACATCAAAAGCAAAGTGCTCTGGGACAGTATAGCAAGGCTCTTTCACAAGAGGGGATCTATTAAGTCTCTATGCCAAAAGGACATTTAAGTAGAGTCTCCATGAATGAGGTGGCGTTAAAGAGGTAAAAGCGGTTGTGAGCTTGTTCTCAGCAGGGGGAAGCACACACACAGAGACCTGGAGCTCACGGTGTGTGTAAGAAGCCAAAGCTGTCTGGTAAGGCTGAGCTCCAAATGCAAAGGGAGTTGGACAGCCATGCAGGGCTGGATTGGCTGGCCTTGCACAATGAGACCAGGATCTGGGACTTTATCTTGAGACAGTGATGGCTGCTTCAGGTCGAAAGGGGCCATGTTGTCTGCAAGGTCCCCTGTCTACACCGCTGTCAGGCCTCTGCACACTCTCTGCAGTAACAGCTCAGGCATGCTTTGAAGCTTTGGGAGAGGCTCTGGTCAGGGCAGAAGTAGAGCCAGGAAGCAAGCACTGCAGGTGCTAAGACTGAGGCGAAAGAAGCAACAGCAGTCAAGGCAGCTCCAAGGAGGGAGATCACAAATAAGAGCCCAGCACTGACTGCAGGGGTCAGCGACTGCAGGGGACGCTGGGGCATGTTCCTTCACAGACATCATCTGGTGGAGGGGGTCAGGTTCCTGTCTGAGGGGAGAGCCGGAAGCCATTTGTGTATTTGGCATTTCTCATGAAGCATCTGCTGAGATCCTCATGAATGTTCCACAGGGAAGGCTCTGTGACGACCCTCAGAAGCCAAGACAGAGGCTGGGGAATGGAGCGCAGTTGGTAGAGTACTTGCCTAACATGCACCAAGTCCTGTGTTCCATCCCCAGAACCACATAAAACTGAGTGTGGTGGTGCGTGCCTGTAATTCCAGCCATTTGGAGGCAGAAGCAGAAGGATCAGAAGTTCAAAGTCATGCAGGACTACACAGTGAGTTTAAGGCCAGCCTGAGCTGTCTCAAGACCCTGTCTGAGAGAAAGAGTGCAAGAGTGAGAGAGCGAGAGCTAGAAAGCAAGAGCGA